TTGAGAAAGTTATCGTCCATAATTGCTTGTTTTCAGGGACTGGTGGGGGGTCTAATTTCATCAGTAACCGACACAAAAGAAGACGGTAGTAATTTTAAAACAAAATTTTCAAGTTACAATGCTGAGCTGATGGGCGTAATTAAATCGTGTGCAGATACATGCTTGAATTTCACGATGTTTTTCGTAATAGCTTTGTTTCTTGAGGATGACCCGTTTGCGCACCAGTCAGCGTGTGGTGGTATCGCATTGGAAGCAAATGAGTCCCCATCTGAGAAAATGGTACCTTCGGATAGTAAGAGTGAACGTAAAAGAGGTCATCCTAAGAAAAAATTGTGTCCATCCTTCCCAGACCTCGAATCTTTTCTGACCGAGGTTGAAAAGTGGAAACTGTGTCCGAAAAAGCCTTTGTTGATGCAAGTTTTCAGAGGTGAAAATGCTGAGGCGGGTTTCTTTCTCAGGCAGCTGTTTATTGCTTGTTCAGCTATTCTGAGACTGAATTTGCAGATTGACCTTAAGTTATCTTGGACCCTTTTCCCAATTATGTTAGACATTTCTGAATTTCTCCTCGTGGAGTTCTCAAGATGTGAAATGCCTGATCAGTTTGCTTATTTCTGGTTAGATGGCACCGTGAAATTTGTCGAAGAGTTCGGTAGTTATTTCCCACAATTTGATCCTTCATTGTCCAGAGTTTTTTACGAGAGCCTGATAGGCTTGCATTTGAAGGTCATTGGAAAGTGCATCTCGTTACAAGGTAAAGAAGCAAAGTTAGCATCCCAAGAGATAGGATCACATGCTAAGAAGCTGATAACTCACAATCAATCTTGTTTTTCACTGGGAACCAGACGATTGGGCCAATTAAAGGGGAAATTGAGGATGTCATTCGTATCATATACCAAGAGATCATCTGAGTTGCACTTGCTATCTTCTATTCAGGCCGTCGAGAGAGCTTTAGTTGGTGTACAGGAAGGCCTGATGAGTAATTACGAAATTGTTTGTGGAGTTTCAGATGAAGCAGAGGTCTCCTCTGTTGTTGCTGCTGGTATTGATGTATTGGATTTGATTCTTGAATTTGTTACAGGTAAATCATGGTCTTAATGTCGTTAAAGTTCTGCATAGATTACTTCTCGTCTCATTTGCACTTCACCAGAGAATCTTTTTTACTCCTGAAAGTGATTTTCCACCAAAATTTCAACATGTAACTATTTGCTCACTTATTTTTTTTTCTTACGAGTCATTATCACACACTTTATAATAAAGAAGAAATTATCGTCACACTTGCCCACAAATTTCGATGTTCACCTTCTCATATTTCCAAGTACCGTTCATATCTTATCCTCTTACTATTTTGGCTATCACACAACTTTCTTCACATTTTCCTATGTATCCAATTACCAAACCATTCCATATCTATTCTCTGGCAGAACAAAAGTTTTCAAAGTGAACAATTTTCCAATTAGATGTAGTTTTTCTCAGTTTCTGTGTTGTTTTGTTCTGTTTTGCAGGGCCAAAACGTCTAAATATGGTCAAAAGACACATTGAGAGCCTAGTTGCATGTCTTCTAAATATCATCCTGCATTTGCAGGGTCCTTGTATTTTCTACGTACCCCATGATTCAGTCGAAGCTTATAGAATACCTGATTCCGGTTCGGTTATTCTCATGTCAATTGAAGTACTCACAAGAATCTCCGGCAAACCAAAACTCTTCCAGATGGATGCTTTTCAAATTGCACAGTCACTGCGTGTACCTGGAGCACTCTTTCAATACTTTGTCCAACTTCAGGTATCTGAAGCTCCTGTAAAAACTGCACCTTTGACAAAAACATGCAATCGAACTGTAGATCAAATGTTTTCCGTAGAGCTATATGCTGCATGTTGCCGAATGCTGTGCAATGCTCTTAAGCATCACAAGAGGTAATTTTACTTTATCTTTTTTTTTTTCTTTTTTTTTTTATCTTTT